AACACTCTGCCATATGAAAGTCTCTCGGAAACGTCGCAGTGTGGCGCACACGATAAACCGAGCCATAATTTATATTCAGGGCCCTTAGGAGATGGTGATAAAAATCTTTCCTGGGCTTAATGCCAAATATACACGCTCATTAACTTGCTCTCATACTTTTGTCACAATTTCATGTTTTTAAAGAATGACTTGTTTCAGAGTTGAAGAACCTAGTTGTGAATTACTGGCAAGTACCGGTGTGATAAGAACAAAACAATAAAGACACAGACAAGTCATCTATTACATATTTAAATGTAATAAATTACATAACTCCATCATGTTCCGCCATAAGGTGATTCTCCGCGCAAAACATTTTTCATTTTTGGATAGAGTGGGTTGTAGCCGTATTAGTACATTTGTGACAGAAACAATTGAGTACTGTCCGTGATACTTTTTTTATTTGCACTAACATATAATTTTCAGGACAAGCTTTTTGGGTACTGGTCACAAAGTTTTAGCAGAATGTTAGAGGAGATGTAGGGGATGGAAAAAAAAAATAAAGAGAACAGAGAGATAAGACACAGCAAAAGCAAAGTCTGGGGGGGGGGGGGAGACAACACTCACAGAGGCAGTCATGCTTGAGGTGATAGTCATAAAACTGTTGGATAACGATTGAGGAATCCCATGTCCAAATTAAGGCCGTTATCTCTTGTGTCAAATAGAATTATCATTCTTAGTTCAAAAGTTTTTCTTTCCTGAATGGATTTGAAATTTCCTTTAAGAACTAAAATATTGAGGTCTCCCATTGTGTGGTCTGGTTGTGCGAAATGGTGTCCCACAGGTGTGCAAAAGTCATCTTCTTTATGTTCCTTGATGGTATGTCTGTGCAAATTCATTCTTGTTTGCAACTTCTGTCCTGTTTCGCCAACATAAGATCCTTTGCTACATTTTCTGCACTGGATAAGGTACACAACATTACTGGAGGTGCAGCTGTATGATCCGGAGATATTGAAGATCCCTTTTGAGTGTCTGACACTTTTTGATGGATTGATTTGGTTGCACAGTTTGCAGTGTTTTTTATTGCAGGGTTTGCTTCCATTATTTGTGACCTCATAATCAGAAGGAAGTTTCCTACTGATTAGTTTATTTCTGAGGTTGGGGGGTTGTCTGAAGGCCAGTATTGGTGGTTGCTGGAATATTTCTTTCAGAGTTCCATCCTCTGTTATGATGGGTTGTAAATCTTTAATTATTTTTCTTATTCCTTCTAGTGCTGGGCTGTATGTGGTTACTAGAGGTACACAGTTGTTTGTTTTTTTCTTCTTGTGCTGAAGTAGATTTTCTCTATCCCCTACATCTCTTCTAACATTCTGCTGAAACTTTGTGATCAATACAACTTGGACCTGAAGAAGGGGACATTCCCCGAAAGCTTGTCCTCAAAATTGTATGTTAGTGCAAATAAAAAAAAGTATCACGGACAGTACTCAATTGTTTCTGGATAGAGTGGGAAAGGGTTAAACCCTTTGTAAGGTTTTTATAGCTATCTGTGTTCTATTTGGATGATCTCTCCCCATCTTACACTGGAGAACACCAAGAAAGTAAAAAGGAATCTTTCCAATAGGACAACAAAAAACTTGTCTGTTGAATGTGTGCCATCCTGTCAAGTAGTAGCTTCACAGCTAGCTTTGCATTCAGCAATGCAGCAATATTGGTATATATTATGCGGCACTGAGGCCCCAGTGACCAGTCCAGTAGTTAATGTTCTTCTACCGACACAGTGTACAGGGTGGTATTGAAGGGGCACTATACTGAGGATAACCATATATGGTGGGCTGATCAGCGCTGCAGCCAATTAAGTGTAAGCTGCTGATCAACAAAAGTTTGCCAAAAGTCCCGTTTGACAGAATTAGATCATTAGATCCACTTCTTTTGAGCCAGAACAGCTGTAGATGGATCAAAATTCAGTCAATCCCTGCTGAACCGGCCAAATTTGGATCCATGTATGAGCAGCTTTATTTTGCACAGAGAACAATGAAGTACTGCTTTCACTTTGTGGGATGTTAAATTATGAATATACTATGTAAGTAGATCTTTATATCAAACCGGTTGATTGGATTTTATGGTCATAGAATCTTTATTTTTCTCTCTCTGAGGGGCATATGTTTGGTGGAACTGGCAAATACCAAAGCAGTTTGAGGTGTGCCAAAGCCATTTGGTGGTGAGGAGTGTTGGAGGTGCATTCCAGGCAGAGGTTGTTGTGCTCATGAGCTTTATCTATCCATGCTGTAACAACCTCCTATAATTTCCTGGTTTGTTTGGTAAGGAGTTTGTGGTTTTGAAGGTGGTGGAATATTTAGAAAAAAGCACCAGTTACAGTTGAAATATTTCACAAGCACAAGTTTAAGATGTCATATGGACTTTTAAATATTTATGCACATAGCACTTTTTGCACATTTTCACGTTTGGGATATTCACTCATTGATTTATGTGGTATTTTATGAATTTGTTTATTCATTCAATTTTACATTTTTATTTATTCACACTTTAGAAAGAAATTGAGTTTTATCATATAATTTGTTTGTTTAAAGGGACTGCTCACCAATTGTGGATTAGAATTGGTATATCTTTTATTCAGATATTGGGTTGCTGCAGTCTTTAAATGGTAATTCTGACATGGAGTGCAAGTGATGATTCATTTTTTATTGTAATCATGAAGTACCCAATGCCCAGAATTCTGCTTGTGCTTCGAATAATGGATTGGGATTGGTAGTTTAGCAGATTTCCTGACTTAGCCCTGTTTTGGTAAAGTCAACATTTAACCATAGGACTTCAGAATCACTGTTGGAGTTTTCAAAAGAAATATATCTCTCTACACTACAACAGGAACTTTGATGGCTGCATGTAATTTCTGTGTTTGCAGAGGCTGCCAGAGTATGCTAAGGTTAGTGGACGACTCAATATGTACCAGGGTTGGGTTCCCACCGTTACGTTGAAATGCGTTGAAAGGCAGACCATTCATTTGAAGAGGCTACCCAATGCACCAGAAATGGTGTGTGTACTATGTTTTGTAATGTAGGGTACTGTAACACCTGGTAGTGCATTACTATGCATTGGAGTGCACTACAATGCAGTCCATCGGTAAGGTTGTGGGAATTGCTGGAGAATAAAAATCACACACACACGGGTTGAACTAGATTGACCTATGTCTTTTTTTAAACCTTATAAACAATGTAACTAGGTACCATTAACAATGAAAGGCACAAATGCTCAAAACACTACAAAGGTGCAACTGTGTGAACCCATCCCAAATTGTAGATGCTAAACTGTATCCTAGATTGTAAGCTCCAAGGAGCAGGGCCCTCGAACCCCTCGTGTATCGCACTGTATTGTTATTGTACTGTCTCATGCATTGCCCCCCATTGTAATGTACAGCGCTGAGCGAACTGTTGGCGCTACATAAATACTGTATAATAATAATAATGGCAGAGAGGGGTTATTCTTTGGCACAATTGGAGTTATAGGTAAGGTAAGTGTGAGAGTTAATGTTACAGGGAGGAAGAATGGAAGAGGGGCTTAAATTAGGAAATCACTGAGGGCCAGTGACTCTGAAACCAAATATATTGCCCCAAAGGGTACCAAGGTCATTGTCTTTGCTACTACAAGTACCTGTTTGATGCATTTTCTCTCTTTGCTTAACATTAGTGTGTCTCTGCCAATCTTAGATTTTTTTCACTTACAGAGGTAATTCAAATCTTCAAATAACCATACATGAAAGGTGTATAACTAGCAACCACATTCCTTCAAAACCCTATCTGAATCATGAGCACGTTACTATTGTAGATACACTGCACATCCACCAAATCAACTATGGGTGTAGAGCTTCAAAAAGCAATATCTACCCATGTGCTGTGATAAGGCAAATGGGGGCATCTTGTTTTAAGCTGTGTCTGAGAAGGCTCCCAATGGGTGCTTAGGTGAGTGGTAGACTCTTGATACACAGCTGTTAAAAGGTAGGTGTTCTTTCAGTCAAAGGTACACCGTGCCTAACACTCCTAATCATAACTACTTAACCCTCCATAGCTAACAGATGAGGCCTATTGCAAGGTTTACATCCTTTGGCCAAAATGTATTCACCACTTGACACACCTGACACCCCATAGATTTTTATGGGGACATTTCCTAAGACTATTCTGAGGGCTCACAGCTCAGCCATGGCCATCGGAAGTTTTGGCCAAACTAAACATTATAGGAGGCTGCTATTATCAGCCTCGGGTAAGTCACCAGCTAGAGGGAGATGAGAGTGGTATTCAGTTCAAGGGGCAGCAGAGTAGGTAGGTTTACTTTATTTGAAAGTACACTTAACTTTTAAATAAAAACAGACTCACAGTGTGACTGAGTATTATTCATGTGGATGGATGGTGAGGCTCACTGCAGGTTCATATCAGTGAAAAAAAAAAACCCAGCAGCAATCAGACAAGGCTTTCCAGCCTGTATTATCGCCCCAACTGACATACACTTAAATCAGACCTTTCCCCTGTCACTAAAATCACAGCAGAATACAGCTCTGCATGCAGATATGAAATCATCTTACATTAATTAGTTATAAAAATATTTTTGCTTTTACTTACAATTACAGTTTTTCCACTTCCTGGTTGAGTGAGACACTGGTGATATAACCAGAACCTTACAGTTGCATCTTGGGAAGTTTCTCTCACTTGTTCTAAGAAGAAGACCCAGAGTTCCAAACAGAGTTCCAGGAATGAAAAAGGGATGGATTCATCTGCCCGGACTGAAAATGGGTGCTTTGAGAAAGTGGTATGATGAATCATAACTTTCTTAAGGAGCTCCAAGTGCAGGCCATCTTTGTCGAGGCACTTGGTATTGGCAAAGATGGACTGCGATCCATTGAAATGTTAGACTAAATAAACTCCTTTTGTTTAGACACATACTCTTGCACAAAAGTTCACCTCTATAGACCAGCCTTTCTCAACCTTTTCAACACACAGGAACCCTTGAAATAGTTTTCCAGTCTCAGGGAACCACTGCTAAAAATTACAATGTCTTCCACCCATGATAAATTAGCGTGATGGTCAGTGGAAAGAATGCTCCTCACACTTGTGGTCATTGAGAACAGGGGCGGACTGACAACTCATGGGGCCCCCAGGCAATAGGGGATCATGGGGCCCCTGTGTCCTTGCCCAAACTCAAAAAAGCCTATGAAAGAGGTACCAGGGGCATCTCATGGGGCCCCCTACTGACCCCGGGCCCTCGGGGAGTGCCCGAGTTTCCAAATGGGCAGTCCGCTCCTGATTGAGAAGATTTACTCCCTTACAGATAGCTAAAAAGATCAATGGTGTCCGTGGCAACTTATCTGAGAGGCAGAAATTGCTCAATGTTCAAGGAACCCCTAACAACATCTGGAGGAATCCTAGGGTAACATGGAACCCTGGTTGAGAAGCCCTTCTATAGAGAGAAGAGATATAGTTGGTTAGTTTGTGAAGGCAGGGACATGCACAGTTTGTAAAAGCAGGGATTACTGCTATATACTTCAATCTATTCAAGATATACCCTATAAAGGTTATTCTTCTGCAATATGAGATTATTCACAATGTACATTGCTGATGGGAAAATTAGGCATCCCAGTGCTTTGTTTCACCTGAACTACAACAAAAACATTCTCTAGAACATCCTGGAATAGAGGTGACATAACTATGGAAAGTAGTAAAACAGATTGGTTGTATTAAAAAGCTTTGATCCAAAATACTGTCATATGGGAGATAATGCAGAGCCAAGGTTCTGCATTTTAATGTACAGACTGATGTATGTGAAGGGACTATGTTTATAGAAATCCAGCACAGACTCCATAAACCTCATCACTGCTCAATAAAGAGCTGAATCACTTTGTCTTGGTGTTAAGTCCTACTATTATTAGTTCTGCACTTCATAAACAGACTGCATGGAAAATACACAAAATGGACAAGTTGATAAATTCAATGGACACTATATAGTAACAAAGAAGAGGGTATGTCAAATGTTCTATATGTATAGAAATAGCTGAGAGATTAATTTTTGTATATAACCTCCAAATGCCCAGTGGATGTTTCATGTAGTTTAGAGCATGCACCGCATGTATGATTACAGCATACCCCATTCATTCACTATATATCATTTGCTTTTATGGCCAATGGCCCTGATATGCTTAAATTATGGTGGATTACAAGATTTCTTTCTGGAGGGAAGCTTCTGTGTATTTCATGAGGCCTCACACACATGTCGTCAAGGTCTAGTCCATAGAAGGGTCCTGTTACACAGAGGCCTTGTAGGGCAGGCGGGTGACACTCCCCACATACTCCCCTCCTTGTTGGGCCCCAAGTGTGTGTCACATGGGAGGCCTATCCTTGGGTGGGTTCTTTTGAGTTACGTTAGGCACCTTGAACAGGGTCACCTTTCACATGGGGTGCCTCTACTGTGCCATGTTCATTAATGCCCCAGGACAAGGCTGAGGCTGCCTCCAGAGATAACTCAACCTTAAAGCGGAACTGCAATGTATCTGAGCACTACAAACCAAAAGTGCTATTTAATTTGAGTTACCTCCCCCATCCATTTCTCCATGATTTATTTTGCTGAGAAATCACCTAGAAAAACACCATCTAGCATTTCTGGCTATGGCCATCTTGAGTAATGGCAGATGATTCATGTAGCAACTACTTGCTGGAATCCATCTGCCCTTTGCTCAGGTATACAGGCAGGAGGGTGTGCTAAGCTTAATTTGGACACGGGATTCCTCACTCATTATCCAACAGTTTTACGACCCCCTCTGTGATTGTTGTCCCCCCCCCCCCCCTTCCAGTCTTAGCTTTTGCTGTGTCTTATCTTTAGTCTAATCCTAGTCTTATAACCATTGCTGTGTAGATTTTTTTGTGTGTGTTTCTTTCTGGGGGGGTTTTTCTCCCCCTTTCAACATCTCTTTTAACATTCTGCTAAAACTTTGTGAAGTAGTACTGCCTGGCCCTTGAAGAAGGGGACATTCCCCGAAAGCTTGTCCTCGAAATTGTATGTTAGTGCAAATAAAAAAAGTATCACGTCAGTACTCAGTTGTTTCTGACATAAACAACATGAAAGCATGGATCCATCTTGCCTGGTATCAACGGTTCAGACAGATGGTGATGGTGTAATGGTGTGGGAAAGATTTTCTTTGCACACTTCGGACCCCTTAGTGCCAATTGAGCATTGTTTAAATGCCACGGTCTACCTGAGTATTGTTGTTGACCATGTCCATCCCTTTATCACTACGTGGTATAAAGTGCAGCTCTAGATACATTAAAATAAATAAATACTTAATGCACAGAGATAAAGGTAACAACTCCTTATAGAATTGTGGCATAAAGTGCAGTGCTAAATAATTAATGTAATATAGTAAAACAGTCAAGTGCAGCATATAAAGTGAAACTTAATAAAGTCCATGTATAAGTAGTATCCGTGGAACTACAAGGCACAGTAATCACGGTGGGACTACAAGGCACAGCAATCACAGTGAAGGATAAACTGTGAAGTGGTCCAGTAAGGGAATCTACCACCTCTGCCAGATATACACTCACTAGAAAGCTACTGGTAAACAGGGGCGGACTGACAACTCATGGGGCCCCCGGGCAATAGGGGATCATGGGGCCCCTGTGTCCTTGCCCAAACTCAAAAAAGCCTATGAAAAAAGGTACCAGGGGCATCTCATGGGGCCCCCTACTGACCCCAGGCCCTTGGGCAGTGCCCGAGTTTCCAAATGGTCAGTCCGCCCGTGCTGGTAAAATAGCATGTATATCAAATCAAGGGATGAGAAACAGCCATCACATCAGTGGATGAGAAACAGCCAGAAGCCTCTAGAATGGACTGCTCCGCCACAGGCAAACTGAAGATGGGATCTCTCCTAGAACAATAGCTCACCACAGGAGCCCAGAAATAGTGTATAGTGCAGTATTTTATTGCAAATATCAGCAGAACAATCCACGTGGAGTAAAATACATAAGGTATAAAAATGAGTACCAAAATGGCCACCGCTCCGACCTTCAGCAACGGTGGCATGTCGTCAGCAAGTAAGGCTCCACCCAACGCGTTTTGTGCGCATGCACGTCTTCAGGGGTACGTCCACTGCTAACGCCAGGTGCGGGCCCCATTTAATTAGCCTGCAAGGAGCGATTTCAATTAAGTGGCACCATTTTCCAGAAAGCCAGGAAGTGATGGCCATACAGAGGATATCAGCGGGCATTTTCTTAGAGACTAAAAGAATTATAACGATCCTCACTTGAGGATGTAAGAGGATGGTAATATAGCTCAAGAAATATCGGAATGTTAAAAAACTATTTACTCGAGTACCAATGCAAAAAGGGAAATATTAATCATTAGTAAGAACAATCAAGGAAAAAATATCATATATAAAAGGGTAAATGGTATATGAAAAAATGTCACAGCCATAGTGGACATACACAAAGAGGACAAATAGTGACGTCAAAGAGAATGATATATATGAAAAGGCGTCACAGTAACAATAGACAGTAAAAAAAAGGGGGGGGGGAAGCCCTCATAAAAAATACTGCTAAAAAGCAGGTGATTTAAATAAGTGTCAAGGTCACAATGAAGGCTCACAAAATTAATAATATATTAAAATATTGCAAAAGATCCATAAATGTCGCGCTCCTAATAAATATTACCAATAAAGTGATAAAACAAATAATATGTGTCACTTTAGAGCAAACTCATCCAAATTCAAAATATACATATAAAATTAATAGATAATGATATATGAAAAATAATATAATCTCTAGTGACAAACTGCATAATAATAGTCCCAAGAAAATAATGTGACCCAAAAAATAATGTGATCCAAAAAATAAATAAAAGGTGAATTAAAAACAAAAAGTCTCTAGTGTTGAAAAATGTGACAAATCCCAAAAGTGATCCAAAAAATTAAATTGCAATTCCCGGTGGCTCCTTGTTATAATTAGGTTATGCGCTCACCTCCTTTTCAGCCTATAATAGGCTTACTTTGCTTTTTGTTCACGCATGGAACTATATGTATTATGTTGCACCATATAAGGAATGGTGGGTATCCCTCAATGGCCTCCCAGTGCTCCTTTCCTTCTATGCCACTATCCCCGCAGGGATCTCTCACTCCTTTTGCTGATCTTTTTCTTCTCCTTAGATATTCCTCAGTAAAAAAGAAATATCGACACAGTGCCTTATCCTTTTAGAAAAATAATTTATTAGGTGCCCAAATATTGCACTCCCATTCAGTAAAGTATATAAAAGATACAGATCACTGTGTGCGCCGCCGCACACTAAGCATACTCGCCGTCCACGGGTGTAAATTAATGTCGTAGCCCCTCCCCTACGCGTTACGCCGAAGGTCACGTAGCTTCATCAGGGGGCTGTGATTGGACGTTCACTTCATCCTTAATGCTTTATATAGTCGATCTCCTCCATTTTCCTGAAGTCAACATGGGCGCGGCCATCTTTTTTGGGACTGAGAAATTCAAATAATCACAATCACATCCACCGGTGATTGTGATGAAGTAATTATGTTTCTATTTTTTGATACTATGTATCACTCCATCCTGTGGACATGCAAGTAACTTACGGCTCACACTGAACAGACTATCATAAAAACAATTGCATAAACAGATACAATGAATACATTTATATATGAAATATTTCCAATTCAATTACTCCAGACCACAAACTTTTTATAGCCCACTCTATAAGGTTAAAAATTATTAAAATATAATATAAAAAAGTAAAATAAAAAATATAAAAAAAATATAAAAAAAATAAATAAATAAAATTTAAAATTAAGATAACATATCAAAGAGATACATTTATGAGTGAAAAAAAAAATTCCTATACCTACGATTGATTAATTCTAATTTGTTCTAAGATATTAAAATATTGCAACGAAAAAAATGTTTGTATATAAAAAAACGATAAACAAAACCATAGCTCAGTGGTACATATAGAGGACTAAAAACCACATATCTGAAGAATAAATATACTGTATGTCCCAGGAATAAATACATTTCAAAGAGGTAATAGGATAAAGGAACAATCCTGCAAATACTAAAATAAAAAAATATAATAAATACAAAATATATCCACCTTAAAAAAATCAAATGTCATGGGGACCATTAAATTAACTTTTGTCAATAAAGCAGTTGATGTCTATATCCACATTATATCCACATGATCCAGAGGGGTTAAAGACCCCATTTCATAAATCCATCGAGTTTCCAGTTATGATATAGCTTTCCTTTTAACACAGCCTCTCCAGTGGGGGTTGAGAATGTCTATACCAGTAAATTTAAAGGGAATTTCTTCATCCACTTTGTTTGTACCTGCAGGCTGAACGAAAAAAACCCCAATAATTTTATTGTATGTAACCAGAATCACTGTTAGGGCTCTTTTAAACTTGCTTTAAGATGTGGCATTGGACAGGCTTTTTTAAAGCACTCTGAATACCAAAGCACATGTCACTAAGTAAAATGGTAAGCTTACAGTCCTGTTCACATGTTTCATTTGTTTTGCTTCAGTTCAAAAATTATACGCCATGTCGCTTTCTTGGTGAAAGGCTCCATAGAAATTTATGACAAAGCTTGCTAACAGCACTTGCAGCTTTTGAGGGGCTTATATTCAGAGTTAGCTTCGCACTGGAAACCCAACAAGCGAACCAGAAAGACATCATCAGCAGTCACTTCTGGTTCATTTGTATATATTCTGGAAGTTTCTGGTGCAGACGTCACATCTGATGTGCAGCATGGAGCAGAAGGAAGGTGAGCAGGGTCTGCACTGGAGCAGAGCAAGTAGTGGACAGCACACAGGGTGTGCAACATGGGAACACTATAGTGGAAGATGAGCAGGGACCGGAGAGAGAAGACTGAGTGCGAAGGATCAGCAGAGCTGGCAGACCAGAGCAGGAGAAACTAGCAATGTCACACATGGTGCACAGCCTGGGAGCAATACAGCGGGATGTGAGTGGGGACCTGAGAGAGAGGAGTTACTACTGAGTCAGAGATGGGGGTTACTACTGAGCGAGGGATTAGTAGAGCTGGGGGTTACTACTGAGTCGGGTATGTGCAAAGCTGGGGGTACCACTGAGTCTGGCGTTAGCAGAGATGGGGGTACTTTTGAGCAGGGGATCTGCTGAATGAGGGTACTAATAAGCTGGGGATCTGCTTAACAAGGGTACTAATGAGCTTGGGATCTGCTGAGTGGGGGTACTACTGAGCTGGGGTTTTAATGGGCCCCTTTAAAACAAATAGAAAATCAACACACACATGGCATTTTTCCAAGCGTCATTAAAGCTTCAAAAAAAGCATCACGGAAGTGGCACAGAAGCAGGGGCGGACTGACAACTCATGGGGCTCCGGGCAATAGGAAATCATAGGGCCCCTGTGTCCTTGCTCACACTCAAACCACACCCAAAAAAGCCTATGAAAGGTACCAGGGGCATCTCATGGGGCCCCCTATTGACCCCGAGCCCTCGGGCAGTGCCACCGTGGCTAAATGGTCAGTCCGCCCCTGCACAGAAGTGTCACCAAAGCATCAAAAAAGCATCACGAAGCATAAAAAACACATAAAAAAAGCATGTTGAAGCAGTAGGCATTTTAATGTGAGTTAAAGTCGAAGCGAGTGTAAATGAGCCCTTGCTGAAATGTGCAGGCCGTATAATGCATTATTATGGTGAATATTTCCTGAATGCAGTTCCCTTTTCTCACCACAAGATGGCGTTTCCTACATCTAAGAACTTTTGATTCTTTTAAACCTGGAGCACTGCATGCTGGGAGAGATGTAGTTTGGGCCTGAAGAGATGCCAATATCATTGCAAGGAAGAGTAACTACAGGACCCAGTGTGCCTGGAGGCAGGAGGGGCCACATAAGTAGTAAAGTTCAGGAAAGCGCGGGGGCAGTTGGGAGTTAACCGCCTGTGTGTAGAGAATGGAAGGTCCTGTGAGAGAGAGCTGGGGAGTCTCATCTGATACTTGCATGCGGCATCGGTATCGGGATCTGTTGGTTCTGGAGAGTGGGGAGATCGGCTACAGGCCGCTGTCTTGAGCTAGAGGCAGAGTAGTTCAATGCTGTGGTCAATTCCTGCACCAAGGCCTATTGTTTGTGCCACTGGCAGATTCGGAGCACTAAGCCCAGTCTAGCTGACTGATGCTGCTGCTACACTGGGTACCATCGAGGTTTACAGCTGCATTGCATAATCCACCACTTGTCAGATCGCTGCAGGAAGCTGCCTGGGATCCAACACCATCTTAAAGGGGCCCACCATCTGAGAAAGGATTCTTGATTTTACAAGTACAGAGGAGCTGGTGAGTGGGTTATTGACCCATTAGTGCTTCTCTACATTGGCTTTGTGTCTAATCACCTGGAGAATTTGTATTGTCCTTTATTTCTGTTAACATCTACCATTTTCCTACTACTGAACACTGCTAGTCCTGCTGGCCAGAATATATATAACATCATCATCATATCTCAGATTGTCCATTGTTCTCCAGAACCTACTGACTGTTTGCAAGGATATTTCTTCTCTTCAACAAGCGCACCAACGTCTTCAAGGGTCCCAACGTAGCCAGCAGAAGACAAACATTAAAGACTGTACATAATTCACCCACTATAGAGCACAGTTTTCAGCATTTATATTCATTTATATTTCTCTGTTTCAAGAAGGCCTAGGCTTAGCTCTCTCACCCCAAGTGCCCATAGGCAATGTAGCACTGATCTCTTTGGTGCTAATCTGTTGTTGCCCTATGCTGCTCATTTAGTGAGAAGAGCTACAGTTTATGCTGGTCTGGTTTGGAATGAAGGTAGCACTCTAACCATATCAAGTGAAGCCTTACTATAGTGTATTCTCTAAAGAAATCCTCACTGTTATACTCTGCTTGTCTGAACATTCTTTGACGATATACATTGTTTCGTTACCACAGGGTCTTGAGTTTCATTTCAGGGTGACCCTAAGGTATAAACAAAAATTATTAATCTCTACTTATTGATGTGTATACCTGAGGTGTCAGTGATGCTGAGGTCTTTGCCAAGGTCAAGGTAAGGACAGAGGACCCAACATAATCAGTGGGGGTGGTGCCACATATATTTGGCCATCTGAAGGTAGAACTAAAGGCAAAAGTTTTTTTTTTTCATTTTGGCTAGTGTAAGGGAAGGTTATAACACCTGTCTATTTGTTTCAAATCTGTGCCCCACTGGAGAGATTTCCCTTCATTTCCTGTACCATAGTTAAAACACAAAGTGAGAGGAAACTCCTTGGTTGTCACCAGGATCACCAGAACTATTGTCCCCATCTAAAGATCTACCCCCTATTACTATTCTGGCGAACAACCCATAATTTGGGATTTTCTTTTGCTTTCACTTTCTATGATAATGGTAAACAGGCCAGATAAAGAGTGTGAATCTCCGTAATAGGGACATAGACCTCAATAAAAACCTGACAGGTGTCCTAATCATTCTCCACTCTGTCCAAAACCAAACAAAAAAGCTTTGAATTTTTAGGCTTCAGCCTCTGAAACATGTTGGATGTACACGTGTTCTAACTTCCGTTGACATTTTTACATTATGGTGTGGTGCTTCAGTTCTAGATTTACTCACAGGTCTTGAAATTGGAGTCTACAAAAAAAACGTGTTGTCATTTGACTAAAGAAAATGAAGAGTTGAGAACATTTTGGTAGACCACCTAAAAAGGTGCTTTTCCCCGTCTCCTTTTCTGCCTGTATTTGAGGTTTTTTTTTTCAGGGTGAATGTACCTAGTTTTGACAGGTACCTGCACCCACTTTTGCTTAGATCACCTAGACAATCCAAGTGGAAGTTCACCCCCCATCTCTCCTACAAACATCCTAGGACACGTCACAGATCCCAGGAGGTTGTGGATCCATTGAGAAACTGCCACACTACTCACTCATAAGCAGTGGTAAGCCAGCTGTGAAGCACCAGGAAGATTCAGCCAGCTTTTTACATCCAAGATGGTGGCTTGGACCAGCAAAGAACCTTCCCAGGTGAGGAAGAACCGGCCTGAGTGAGGACAGAATTGGATCCCTGGACTGGTAAGTGCATGTTTATCAAAAGTCAGCAGACACAGTATTTGTAGCAGTTTCTTTTCCTAGTGTAAAGTTCCTCTTTAATTATTTTCATCAACTTGTAGCATCAAAATATTGGGATCATGTATTGCAGAAATACACTGTATGTCTTCATTTTGCTCTTACATATACACTATATTGCCAAAAGTATTGGGACACCCCTCCAAATCACTGGATCCAGGTGTTTCATTCACTTCCATGGCCACAGGTGTATAAAATCAAGCACCTAGGCATGCAGACTGCTTCTACAAACATTTTTGAAAGAATGGATCGCTCTCAGGAGCTCAGTGAATTCAAGCATGGTACCATGACAGGTTGCCACCTGTGCAATAAGTCCATCTGTGAAATTTCCTTGCTATTAAATATTCCACAGTCAACTGTTAGTAGTATTATAACAAAGTGGAAGCAACTGGGAACAACAGCAAATCAGCCACAAAATGGTAGGCCACATAAAATTAGAGAGTGGGGCCAGAGCATGCTGAAGGGCACAGTGCACAGAAGTTGACAACTGTCTGCAGACTCAATAGCTAAAGTCCTCCAAAACCTCTAAAAAGATTAGCACAACAACAGTGTGTAGAGAGTTTCATGTAATGGGTTTCCATGACCAAGCAGCTGCATCCAATCCTTACATCACTAAGTGCAATGCAAAGCGGCAGATGCAGTGGTGTAAAGCACACCGCCACTGAACTCAAGAGCTGTGGAGACGTGCTTTCTGAAGTGACAAGTCACGCTTCTTTGTCTGGCAATCCAATGGACATGTCTGGGTTTGGCGGTTGCTAGGAGAACGGTACTTGCCTTACTGCATTGTGCCAAGTGTAAAGTTTGGTGGAGGAGGGATTATGGTGTGGGGTTGGTTTTCAGGGGTTGGGCTTGGTCCCTTAGTTCCAGTGAAAGGAACTATTAAAGCGTCAGCATACCAAGACATTTTGGACAATTTCATGCTCCCAACTTTGTGGGAACAGTTTGAGAATGGCCCCTTCCTGTTTCAATAAGACTGCGCACCAGTGTACAAAGCAAGGACCATAAAGACATGGATGAGTGAGTTAGGGGTGGAGGAAGTTGACTGGCCTGCACAGAGTCCTGACCTCAACCTTTGGGATGAATTAGAGCAGAGACTTTGAGCCAGGCCTTTTCGATCCACATCTGTGCCTGACCTCACAAATGCGCTTCTGGAAGAATGGTCAAACATTCCCATAGATACACTCTTAAACTTTGTGGACAGCCTTCCCAGAAAGGTTAAAGCACTGTTATAGCTGCAAAGGGTGGGCCAACTCAATATTGAACCCTACGGACTAAGACTGGGATGCCATTAAAGTTCATTTGTGTGTAAAGGCAGGAGTCCCAATACTTTTGGCAATATAGTGTACTTCAAGAGTTTCAAAGATGTTTGGAGAGCCCTCTGCTTTTGAATTGCAACAACTACAAGCAACTAATACTGAGCTGCATTTTACTGTAGCAAGTAAAATAATCCCTTTTGGGTCATGGTATTTCACTGCGTGTCTACTGGTCATTTATCTGGCTGATGGCTCAAGCAGTGTTCCTTTCCCTCTCTTCTTCACTTCATGTTGAGTTGCATGATACTGTTCTGGGGCAACCTGAACATGAGCTACATCAAGCCAGTGGGCTGGACCTGTATACTATTACTCAATATGGGACAAAGAGGAGGATCAAGACAGAGTATAAGCAAGTGGTCAAAACAGTAATCATTAAACCCAAGTAATGACCAGGGGACCACTGCTTCAGCCAGGGTCTTCCTACCAGTAGACACAAACACTGACCACCACAACAGCCAAGGACAGATATCTAATATACACACTGCAGCAAGGAAATGACCATCCGTAGACCCAGGGTTCGAGGACTGCATCCAGGTAATGACCTCCATGTTAGCCATGTTCCAGTGGTAATCACCAACACGATAACTTGTAGAATGGAGATGCAGAGTTGATAAAAAGCCAGTCTAATGTTGCCATAACTGTGTGTCTATAAAGCATTTGAGCAGTCTGTAATTTTTGGGGCTGTTGACTGGATGAAATTAAATTTAGGACTGCTAACCCAAAGCAAGAAAGTGAGCAACCTTATAATCACTAAAGCTAGTGAGAGGGCACCATCCGTTCCCATTTCTTGAGCCAAATTATTTCAATTAAAAAATATACACAGTATAATGGGCATGTTAATACTTTTACCTTACCGTTGATTGAAATCAGTAGTCTCTGCACTAAGGCCCCGTTCACATCTGAAGTAATGCAGAATTGTGGGTATAATGGCATGTGGGCAAGATTCTGGATTGCACTAAAATTGTGTCAAAATGCACTACACACCTTTGACTGACATTAATTGTGAATGGCACCCAATCATGCTAAAGAAATGGACATTTTGTTGTGTGACAAAACACCCAAAAAGTGCCCAAACAGCCAATAAAAAAATGTGCCAAAGTCGTTATCATAAAAAAAAAAAAGGTACAGCCCCGTTTACACATAGATGATTTGGAATTACAGGGCAAAATTGTCAAGATTCTGCCTGCAATTGCAAGTCATGGTAAAATGTGTGACACACATTTTTGTGCCATTTATCTTGGATGGCACCCCAAACACAGCAAAAAAACATGCATGTGAAAGCACACCTGGCTCAGGGCCATGAAACGTATACAAATCTCGTTTTTTAAATCACTAGTGGGAACCCGCTTCCCCTGCTAAAGCAATGTGTGAATGGGGCCTACAGGAGCTTCTTTGCTGCATTTACAGACATAGGGCAGCCCAATCAAGTGAATAGGCTGCTCTATATGTGACTTTAAAAAACATGAGGAAACGCCACAGAAAAAAAAAAAACTACGCTAAAAAAAAACGTTACTCCCACATCGCTAGATATGAAAGGGGCCTAATAATTGGTAGCCAGAGATCACATGATCTGGGCTGCCTAGGTTAGAGACTGGGGAGCAATATCAACCTCCTACTCATACTGTCACCCCCTGGCAACAGTAAAAGAGCAAAGTAACAACAAGTAAAATGTTAAAAAATTAATAAACCAGTAGAAGATTTTACATATTCTGTTGGGTCAAGACCTTCCTACTTTTGTAGCCAGATGGGAAGAGGAAGTCCTATACTATCACATACAAGCTGGAAAAAAATATATGAAACAACATCTTGAATGTAAAGAGGGAGCATACAAGTTATTAAAATGGAGTTCCAGTGAAAATGTAAAAAAAGTAAAAGTCAGCAGCTACAAAAACTGTAGCTGCTGACTTTTAAAAACCAGACGCTCACCTGTCCCTCAATCCCATGGTGTGTCCCCCGCAGCCCGTTTCACCGGCTGTCTTGTGATCCCGGCACTGGCATCTTCAGTGTGGGCACCCGGTTGTGACAGCTTTCAGCTTCACAGCCGGGTGCCCACTGCGCATGCACGAGTAGCGCTGCACTTTTTTAAAGGTCTCGTAGTCTTCTGGGACCTGTCGTGTCCCAGAAGACTACAGGGGGAGGACAACATCTGCCTATGTGATTGCAGCGGACGTCGGAGCGAGTTCCTGTTAATTTTGGGTACCCACTCCATCTCCCCTGCCCAAAGATGCCAATCCTTAATGGGGAGCGGGGACCAGTCGACTTTAAATAAGTAATATTATATTCCAGCTAGTTTTCATAAACTCTTCCTCTCTAGCTCACTGGACCTGTACTGGAGCTGCCCAGAGATTGGAACATATCAAGATATCTGGCGTGACTGTCAGGTAGCCTTTTCATTCTAGAAGGTGCTAGTCTCATATCTGCTTTTTTTGGACATATTATACAGGTAATCCTATGGACAATATTACTAAGGGATTTTTTTTACTAAAGCTGGTTCACTCAAAATCTCATGCACTTCTGCATAGAAACCAATCAGCTTACAGGTTTTATTGCTAAAGCTTAACTGAACGAATTGAGGTTAGAAGCTGATTGGCTGCCATGCACAGGTGCACAAGATTCTGAGTGAACCAGTTTCAGTAAATAAACCCCTAAATGTATATCTGTTTTGGTTTACCCCCTTTCCCCCCCAAAAAAATTATATATACAGTCATGGCCGAAATTGTTGGCACCCTTGATATTTTTCCTGAAAATCAAGTATTTCACACAAAAAAGGTATTGCATTAACACATGTTTTGCTATACACATGTTTATTCCCTTTGTATGTATTGGAACAAATATAAAACAGAGCTGGACAAAAGTATTGGCACCCTTAACTTAATATTTGGTTGCACACCCTTTGGAAAACATAACTGAAATCAGTCGCTTCCTATAACCATCAATAAGCTTCTGACACCTCTCACCCGGAATTTTGGACCACTCTTCCTTTGCAAACAGCTCCAGGTCTCTCTTATTGGAAGGACACCTTTTCCCAACAGCAATTTTAAGATCTCTCCACAGGTGTTCAATGGGATTTAGATCTGGGCTCATTGCTGGCCACTTCAGAACTCTCCAGCGCTTCTTTGCCATCCATTTCTGAGTGCTTTTTGACGTATGTTTGGGGTCATTGTCCTGCTGGAAGACCCAGGATCTTGGACGCAAACCCAGCTTTCTGACACTGGGCCCTACAGTGCGACCCAAAATCCTTTGGTAATCCTCAGATTTCATGATGCCTTGCACACAGTCAAGGCACCCAGTGCCAGAGGCAGCAAAACAACCCCAAAACATCATTGAACCTCCACCATATTTTTACCGTAGGTACTGTGTTTTGTTCTTTGTAGGCCTCATTCCGTTTTCGGTAAACAGTAGAATGATGTGCTTTACCGAAAAGCTCTATCTTGGTCTCATCTGTCCACAAGACGTTTTCCCAGAGGCTTTTGGCTTACTCAAGTACATTTTGGCAAACTGTAGTCTTGCTTTTTTATGTCTCTGTGTCAGCAGTGGGGTCCTCCTGGGTCTCCTGCCATAGCGTTTCATTTCATTTAAATGTCGACGGATAGTTCGCGCTGACACTGATGCTCCCTGAGCCTGCAGGACAGCTTGAATGTCTTTGGAACATGTTTGGGGCTGCTTATCCACCATCCGGACTATTCTGCGTTGCAATCTTTCATCAATTTTCCTCATCCGTCCACGACCAGGGAGATTAGCTACAGTGCCATGGGTTGCAAACTTCTTGATAATGTTGCGCACTGTGGACAAAGGCAAATCTAGTTCTCTGGAGATGGACTTGTAACCTTGAGATTGTTGATATTTTGCCACAATTTTGGTTCTCAGGTCCTCAGACAGTTCTCGTCTCCTCTTTCTGTTGTCCATGCTTAGTGTGGCACAGACAGACACACAATGCAAAGGTTAAGTGAACGTCTCTCCTTTTTATCTGCTTTCAGGTGTGATTTCTATATTGCCCACACCTGTTACTTGCCCCAGGTGAGTTTACAGGAGCATCACATGCTTGTAACATTCTTATTTATCCGCAGTTGTGAAAGGGTGCCAATACTTTTGTCCAGCCCATTTTTGGAGGTTTGTGTGACATTATGTCGAATTTGCTTTCTTTCCTCCCTTTTTTTGTTTTGTCCCAATACACACAAAGGGAAAAAACATGTGTATAGCAAAACATGTGTTAATGCAATACGTTTCGTGAGAAATACATGATTTCCTGGAGAAATATCAAGGGTGCCAACAAT